ACCTTGTAATCAATTTAAATTTATTAGAATATATATATATATATGTGTGTGTATATTTAAAATTTTATTGACCTTTTTTAATATATATTTTTTAATTTTCGTAAAAAATTCTTACATTTTTTACAAATATAAATTTATCAGAAATTATCGACGGATAAATTCTTCGGAAATTAACGACGGCTATATTAGTTGAATAGATTTTAATACAATGGGCAGTCAATGGATTAAAAAAAAAACGTTGAGAACTAAAAAAAGTTATAATTCAATGATGTCACCATTACATTTTAGAAAAACTTTTTATATAAAAAAAATGGCTGAAATAAATTATAATTGAAAAGTTTGATAATAAATATCTATTGACAATATTTTTCTTATCATTTAATGTCTTTGACTTTGAAAGAAAGAAATAAAATAACTTTTTTAATGTAATGCAAAATAAAATCTATTAATAATAATTAAATTATATAATAATAATAATAACACAAATATTTTTTTCGAAGTATTAATATGAGAAATATATTAATATAAAAGTATATGTATTTAATGCCTTCAAACATTTTAAAAACATTCAATACTTTTTTATCTAGTAAGCAAAAGAATTAATAGAAATGTTAGACTAATATTTAAATTTATTAGTAAAACACTTTGTACAGTAATATACAATGTGCACTCAATAAAAAAAAATACAATTTTAAAATCAATAAAAGATCTTGAATTGTTCGAAAGGCTATAAGTTTTAAAGATAATAAACAAAGTTTTTCAGAAAGATTATCTCAGACGAAGTGAACATCATATTTCATCTGTAAGATGATGCACAAAATCCGAATCAATGCTATATTTATTTCTCGTTATGAATTTAAATTATCTTTTAAGAGCATTTTGAATACTTTATTCCTCAATATATTGAATGAGAAAACTTCCTCAAAGACACAAAAAAAAACTACTAAAAATGGAAAGTCAAATCCTTGCGTTAGAAAGAAAGAGAAAAATCCCGAAAATCACAAAAAAAAAGAAGATAGGAACTCTAAACACGCCACACTGCTCTGATTTAGCCACTACTTTTCACCTTACTTAATGAAATGGTGATAAGTAACTACCAAAGATCAGATAAAAGATGAACATCTTCACTCAAAGCATTAAATGCTTGTAGCAACAACTAATTTACTTTCTCTCTCTCAAACCTCAAGGAGAAGACAGATAAAGCATCTTGAGGTGATTGCTCAACTTTCATTTTCTTCCTGATGACTATATATGAGATTCTCAATTAAGATAGAGAAAATGATGAGGAAGACAGAAATATACTGACACATACAAAGTTGAAGTACTACAAAGAAGCTTTTTATTGTAAATATTGTACATAGTTCTTTGTAGACGAATTGTGCTTAAGGTTCATAGCATCATGTCTAGAAGAGATGAATCTATCTTTGTAAATCTTTTCAAATTTTGTATTTGTAAGTGTTGAGTCCAAAGAGACTTGTTAAAAGAATAACTAGTATTTGAGCCTGGAGAAGCTTGGTTGAAAAGAATACTTGGTGACTAAATCTGGAGAGATTTGTTGAAAGAAAACTTAGGTAGTTGCTTGTAGAGGCAAGTCAAAAACTACTTAGGCTTGAGCCAGAAGTGGCTTGTTTAAAGAATATTTGTATCTTTTGAAAGATAATGGAACCTAATCAAGTTAGATTAAAAACTAGACGTAGTCTCTGTGTTTGAGACGAATCGATATAAAAAATCTATGTTCCTTCGTCTGTTGTGTTCTAGCACTTTGTTTGCCAAAATTTTTACTACTTTACTACAATTCATAAAGTGTGAGTTTTTGACATACACTATTCAATCTCCTTCTAGTGTATATCTTTTCTCCAACAACAAGATACAGTAAAAAAAGTTCTAATTCAATAGTGTTTCTAATACATTTAAATATCTTTTGGATATAAAAAATGTGTGAAATAAATTATATTAATAAAATAAAATAATAAATATCTATCGATATTTTTCAGATCATTTAATGACTATCGACTTTGAAATTTTTTTTATATAATGACAATAATAAAATTAAAACTTATATAATAAGTTTATTATATAATAATAAGTAAAAGACACATGACCTTTTGAAGCATTAATATGAGAAATATATTAATAAAAACTATATGTATTTAATGTTTACAAACTTTTTAAAGCATCCAGTACTTTTTTATCAAGTAACTAGAAGAATTAATAGAATAATTAAATTATGATTTAAAATTATTATTAAAATAATAAAACAAATTTGCTTTCTTAAAATATTGATAGAATGAAAATGATAATAAGTTATAATTAATATGCTTAAGTCAGATTTTGATGTCAACAAATGGGTGAAATAAATTATTATTTAAAAAATTAAGTCTAGGTGTAAATTTAAACATTTACATCAAATTTTATGTTTTTAATAATTTTTTATATAATTCGAATTTAACCGATCTAATTGTTTAATTATGTGAAATTATCTTCAAGATTATGTATACTTAATTTAATATGATCTTAACTTTTATGTATATGTTATCAAAAATTGATATTTACTTGTATTTTCAATATCATATTATATGTTAAAATAAAACAATGTGATGAATTACTAAATAATTTTGGAATCATGTGAAATATAATATATATGATATTGAGTATGACATCACATAATTCAACAATTGAATCGGTTAAATTTTCATTTTAAAGGTATAAATTTTGGTGTACGTGTTTAGACTTATATCAAATGTTGATAGATCTTGACTCTTAAAAAATTTATGATATTAAATGGCTATTGACTTTTTTCTTATCATTAATGTCCCTCGACTTTCAAGAAAGAATAATTTTAATTTATTATTTTATATAATAAGGTAATTATGTAACGACCTGACAGGTAACTACACTTATTATTAAACAACTACTATGTAACAACTATGTAACAGAAGACTAAGCAACATACATTAGAATTATAATTTATAACACAACTAGTAACTAATATCAAATATATACAAAATACAATATCAATTGCAAAATAAATGTAAATGTCATATTAAATGACATGAATGGTCTAAAATTGTGTTCAATGTTAGAAACCTCTAGTTTTGATTTCAATTTAGAGCTATCAAATGTAAATTATTATCTTTAAGGTAATATACAAATGACAAATGGAATTGAGAAGAAAATTTAGTGCACCTAAAATAAATATTTTATTTAGGAATTGTAATTTCTATAAACCAAATTACAATAAATTGCGTCAAGGTTTAAATCCCTTGGTGTACATTTAAGAACAAGAACTTTGTGAGGAGATGGGATTCAATGGAAATTGGTGGTCCCAAGCATATTTGAAGCTAACAACATTTTTAGAGATGGGTTGAGCGGGTGTAACAATGCAAAAATCATCAGTGAGTGAGACTGTCAAAATTTGAGGATCAATGGGTTCAATGGAATGAAATCCACTACAATTCAAATTCACATTATGTTGAGGACATTGACACTTGTTGGTGATAGCCACACTCCATTCTGACTTTCCTTGCACCATCAATCCAGTTCGAATTTGCGTTACGGATATATCATTTGGTGTGCATTTGCTATAACCTGACATATCATCATGCATATGAAGAATTCTTAACTAATAAATATTTATAATTTTTTTTCTTCATATAGTGAGAAGAATCATTACCTTGAGAAATAAGGATAAGGAAGAGAATTAAGCTCAAAATCTTGATAGTTGGACAAGCCATTTTTTATGACACAAAAATTAGCTTTGATGATTGAATTTGTTTAGACAAGATATAACATTAGTATATTGTATTATTTATAGATGAGTTATCGTAGATAAGTTTTATTGCTATCAATTAGTTATTCAATTAAAATTTTATCTTTTCTTTTATTGAACCAATAATAAGAGAAATATATTAAATAAACAAACATATATTTAATGTATTCAAACTTCTTAAAATCATTCAACACTTTCTTTAATACAATAAGCAGAAGAATTAATAAAACTATTAGACTAATATTTAAAATCATTATTAAAATAATATAATAAATTTATTGTGTGAAAATATCAGTCAAATAAAGTTCTCTATAGATTTTAATACAATGGGCAGTCAATGGACTAAAAAAGAAATATGATGTGAACTAAAAAAAGTTATAATTCAATGATGTCACCAATACATTTTAGAAAAACTTTTTATATAAAAAAGTGGCTGAAATAAATTATAATTGAAAAAGAATGATAATAAATATCTATTGATAATGTTTTTGTTATCATTTAATGTCTATTACTTTGAAAGAAAGAAATAAAATAACTTTTTTTAATGTAATGCAAAACAAAATATATTAATGTAATGTTTTTGTGTTGTAGGTGATCATCAGCATGAGGATGTTGGTGATGAGGCTTAGGCTTCTGTTGAATTTGCTCTGATAGGATATGTGACATCGGAGCATAGTTAATACTTTAGTTTCTTTCTTTTGCTTGGAAAACCTTTAACTTTATTTCTTCTGTAATTTTCGCAAGTGAATTATGATTCTGTATGCGAATGTGAATCCTTTACCTCTTCGTTAATTGAGACTTATCTAATTGAGAAAATTTTTATTCATTTTAATTTATCTTACAATTATTGTATATTATGTTGGGGTAGAGGGTGTCACAAAAAAAGATGGATGATCGACTCTGGGGTAGTTTCCTCCTCCTTCAGGTTCTCCGAGTTCTGAAACATAAGCCTTTTTTTTTTTTTTAAATCTTAACCTCTCTAACTCTTTAGTTAAAAACGTTAACCATGGTTATCCCAAAAATTCCTTTCCTTATTTAATAAATAATTAAATAATATAAGTTTTCATTATAAAATCCCACAATATATTCATATAAAAAATAATTACCAATAGTTACTAAAACCAACATATTTAATAAGCACAAAATATAGTAATTAATAATAAAATAAATACTAATAAGCTCTTATTAATAAAAATAAAATACCAAAATTATTAATAAAATTTATATTATATTTTATAAAAAATGGGGTGTTACAGTTCTCCCCTCCTTTTGAGAAACTTCATCCTTGACATTACCTGAAGCAAATAGAAATAGATACGCTTCCTGCATCTGAGTTTCTAATTCTCATGTAGCACTTTCTTCAACATTTCCTCCCCAAACAACCTTGACTAAAGGAATTTTTTTACCTCTTAGTTGCTCCACCCTCTTATCCTCAATTCTCAAAGGAATAGTTTCATAGGTGAGGTTATCCTTCAACTGAAAGACACTATGAAGATTTGAAAGAGATGGAAGCAACACAATTTGATAAGCTATATCACCAATCCTCTCAAGGATTTGGTAAGGGCCAATGAATCATGGAGTAAACTTTCAAGATTTAAGTGCTTAAAGGAACACATGGTCTCCCTCTTTAAACTCATGGTTTTTCCTTCTCTTATCATAGTAGCTCTTTTGCTTACTCTAGGATGCTCTCATTCTATCATGGATTAGGTTCAACGAATGACCCCAAAAACCAACATAAGACTTTTCAGAAGCTTTATCATCACTCACACTTTCTAAGAAACTTCCCAGAAGGTCACACATCCTTAAATTACTTTAAGTTAAGCACGCTTAACTGTGGAATTCTTATGACATAACCTATCAAAAAGTAGATGCATCTTATTGTTATAGGTAGTACAATTTAATTCCTTTAAGTCATCTTTAACTATACAATCTCATACTTGTACAATCTTTGGATCCCTCTCATTCTTGTGTGTTCGGGCTATTACAACCTTCAGTATAATTATCCTCCAACCATGCAACCATCTTGTTTATGCTATCCTGCTCTCATACCAAGTATGATCATTGTAGTTTCAAGCATAAGGAAAACACAAGGTAAACTAGTGAAAAGAATTCAACATAATATCTTATAAACAACGTTATCACAACAATTATATACAACTTACAATAGAACAAAAATATCAACACAACAACTCAACATCTCACAACATATACAACATATCAACTTATACATCATATACTAATATGTTGTCACACATATCAATTAAGGGGATCTCCTAAATCTTCGGAGAACAGTTTAAGTGGTTTAACCATACTGAATAACAACAACTAGTATAAAGCCAAAAACAACAACTATCACTAAGGCCAAAAATAATGGCTAGCATAAGGCTATAAATAATGGCTAGCATAAGCTAGTATGATTTTTCAAGTTTATTGTTTACCACAACATTACGTTAGTCTGCAATATTAAGTCACCTATAGGATTAGCCTATCAACTACCCTTCAAATACGACAACCCTCCAATACTAGTTTAGAGACTAAGTCTCCAACCCGATACTTTACTCGGTTGGTCACTTTATACACGTGTGTCTTGACCTTACCCACACACGAATACCACATAGAACCTAGAGGAAACAATTGAAAAACAACTTACCCATTTAAAGACCAACTTACTTATTTAAGGGTTTTTGACCGGGTTCTTAGAGCACCACAACGTATATCTACACAATGGGATATTAAGTTTGAAAACATCTTTAACTCTCCTTTAGTTTCTATGTATCGTAGTTGAGACATGTGTCTAACTTACATATATATAGCTTATCAACTTAACAACTTTATCAACTTTCAATATTCCACCTATCAGTTTTAATAACATACAACGTTCAACTTTCAACTTTTCAACGTAACAGCTTAAATAATGTAAACATCTTACAACTTTTACAACATGAGAAATTTCACAAAACAAGCTCAAGAAATAACTTAGGAAATGTAAAATAGCACACAACCTTACAACATGTTCAACTTACTACATATCAACTCATATATCATCTTACATCATCATTCATACAACTACGTCATCATAAATAACTACTAACAACTTAAGTAATCAACTTTACATTATACCACACATTCGCCATCAATCAACTGTAAAATAACATTGAATAATAAATTTTCATTATACAACTCGTGCTCAACACCACTAGTTGGGTGCTTAACAATACTGAGACAAGGAGCTTCCTATCTCGTCCATGCCTGATGTCACACAACTCGCGTCTAACGTGTTTGAGGTAGAGAGTGACCTTCACTTCGTGCCTGGCATGGCAACACCCATGCTCAACCCCAATTAGGTAGTGAGCTCTCTGCTTGATGCACGCCTAATGTAACACCCCAGTTTTCAAAAAGGTTATTATTATTATTATTATTATTATATGGTATTTGGTCATAATTATTTTAATAATTATAGAGGAATATTATTTTGTACGTTTTAAATAATTATTATTTTAGACAATTATTCTGTACGTATTAAATAAGTATTTTTATTAGCATTTTTAAATAAATATTTATATGTTTTAAGAGAAGGTTGATTTTATATGATATTTTGTTATTGAAATTATATTATTATATTTTGGGTCAGAAATATATTATTATTATTATAAAGGAAAAATATTTTATAATATACGTATTTATTTTATTTAATTATTTTGAGAAACCTCGCTTTGGGTTTGAGAATATATGTTGAGTATTGGGATTGGCCCCCAATCTTGTGTTTGTTGTATTTTTTGTATGCTCATGTATGAGGGGTTTTCCCCAATTGTATCTATTTCATCTATTGTTCCTCTTGTATGTAATTAATTGTATAAATTGCTTGAATGAATGATTAATTTCAGTTTTAAAATTGTAATTGTATGATTTGAGATTTCTGTGGGTTCCTACGAGAAACCCTATGAGAAAACGGACAAAATATGAATGTTTTCTATTTTGCCTTCTGATTGCTTTGTTGTGTTTCTTGTTGGATGTGATTCATGAGTATGTGGTTAATTTTGAAAATAAATATGTTTTTATATGAATTAGAGTTTAGGGTTTAGGGTCTATGGGTTCCTACAGGAAACCCTATGAGAAAACGGACAAAATATGAATGTTTTCTATTTTGCCTTCTGATTGCTTTGTTGTGTTCCTTTTTTGATGTAATGCATGGGTATGTGGTTAATTTTGAAAATGAATATGTTTTTATATGAATTAAAGTGTTCTATGAAAATTGTGAAAATGATGTAATAATATGGTGATGTGATGTGATGATGTGATATGATGATGTGACATGATGATGTGACATGATGATGTGATATGATAATGAGACATGATAATGTGATATGGTGATGTGAAATGATGATGTGTTATGATGATGAGACATGATGATGAGACATGATAATATGAGATGGGAATGAGATATGAAAATGTGATATGAGAAAAGCATGGAGTCTTGATTGACATGCATCATGTGCATAATTGTTTTTAAGGGTACGGTATGAAATACACCGCCAGAAAAGACCCCCTAGTGTAAAAGCTCTGAGGATTAGTCCTTGGGGATAGCTCAGTTTGTAAGTCTCAGTCTCGCCCATTGTGTGCATGGGATGTATCTTGTGCGGCTTAGCTATCTCGACGAGACTCTGGTAGTATGTATTTCTAGTGAGAGTGCATAGAGGGTGTGACCCGACATGTACTCCTAGACTACTTTTCGTGTATTGCTAGCGGCAATATGCCATGTGATATGTTACTGGCGCCACATGCATGATAAAATGTAGTCTGTGTCCATCCATGTGCATTTTAATGTTATATGATAAATTGATATTTTTTATGTCTTGAATGAGTGAGATGTGATATTATTATTAATTTATGTGTGTTATATATGTTTTGTTTGTGTTTGGCTATCCGGTGTATATTCTTACACTGTGAGCCAGAGTGAGATGTTTCTCACTCCCTTTTCTTGTGTTGTTTTTCCTTGACTACCTTACAGGTTATTATCAGCATGAGGCTGA